AAGCACAAAAAATCAATTTTTTAACTCTAAATAAATATTATTTCAACAAAATAAAATGGTGCAACACAAATCAATAATGTAGAGAACAAAAATTAAAAAATCTATTTCGAATTCTTTTTATTTAACATAATAAAAAAAAAATTAGGTTTAGGTCAATCTACCTTTTTTCTTCTCAAAAAGGGATTCACTTGATGTGTTGGAGATGATTTTTGTTCCAGATGATTCACTTAATTGAATTTTGGGAAGATGAGATTTTTTATTTTTATTTTTTAAAGGAGACGCGAGCAGGAAGAGAGAAAGCAGATAGGAGGAAGAGAAGAAAGGGGTCTGTGTGCTTTTTTCCACTTTTTCGGAATTTATTTATTTATTTATTTTCAATATCTTTGGTAGGTAAATAATAAATAAGGGTACAATTGTACTTTTAAGTGTTAAAATAGTTAAATTTCAGTGTTTTACAAAAAGTGACCATATTTCATTTTTTACTTCAAAAAATGGCTAGAAAACCGCACTGTATAAATATAACACTTTAGATGATTTTAAACAACTTAATAGGGTTTTATTAAAATTTAGGTGGACAATTTTTTATTTGATTTTTACACAAGTTTAATTTTAAGTATACTGAAACACTTCAAAATCACACTCACTCCTTAATTTTCATAATGTTACTCACGAAACTAGTTAGTTCTTAGAGGTAAAATGAAGACGGAGTCTTATCCTCAGTTTCATAAATATTACACTTATCTAGTTATTATTAGCTCTTGGAGATTGAATGACTTACTGACAATAAATTATCTCATCCTCAATTTTCATAACACATGATTCATATAATTTGGGAAAATGCTACAGTCCCGTTACGAAACCATTCCGTTGAATTTATAACCGTAAAATCAACCATCGGAATGATATAAAGACAGAAGTAATTTTATTTATGGGTCAAAATCTTTTTCACCCCATTATATATCTATTCATTCTTTTTCACACCACCCCGTCAAATAACTTCTTTTACACCCCAAAATTCACGAAATGCTATGCGATATTGCACTCGCATGTCCAAAATGAACCAGCACATATCCAATCGGCCGCATAATTTCTGATATGCGTAAACATTTCGCGTTTATTTAATCATATATCCACATCAAAACGCATAATTTACAAATCTGCGAACATCTTTCGCATTTTTAATAATCACATATACAAATCGAATGCAGCATAATTTACGATGATTATGCGCCTTCTTTTCGCAGGGCTATATATCAACCTTGCAAATTTATGACTGCGAAAATATTTCGCATCTAATTCGCATAGTTTGTTGAATACGCATTTTCTGGTCAATCGCATAATTTATGAATATGCGAAGAAATTTCGCATATATCCTCTGGATAATTGACAATTATGTGACGTTTTTTCGCTCGCATATTTAAGAATAATCGCATAACCAAATCGAATAAAGCATATTTTTTACGACTATTCACACAATTAGGTTGATTGTGCGATTCGCATAACATGTAACATAATAATCGCACAATTAGGTTGATTGTGCGATTCGCATATCATATCCCATAATAATCGCACAATTTGTTGAATTCGCATTTTCTGGAAATTAAATATCCCAGACAATCGCATAATTTTCTAGTATGCGAAAAACTTTCGCATATATCCGCCGGATAATTGACAATTATGCGACATTTTCTTTCACGCATATTGAAGAATCGCATAACAAAATCGAATAAAGCATAATTTAATTTAATTGCGATTACGCGCCATTTTTTCGCATGGCAATTTTATGACTATTCGGAATTTGATCGCATATCTGTCGCATAAGTTACGCACCTCATTAATTGACTGCTTTTTTACAGGTGAGGATTTTATCTGTGCATTTATCATGCAGACAAAAAAACAGTGATCTCTAACAAATCAACGTCTGCACCATTCTTCTCTACTGCAATTTTCTGTTTCTTTCGTTTTAATTCCTTTTGTTGTTCAGTTATTTGAATGGCTAGCACCCGTGTTAGAGTATGCGTGAGCTATGGTGGTACGTTTTCCGGGGGTTCGTATCTTGGTGGAGTGGCAGAGCTGATGAGATTAAATTACGGCCGACAAATGTATTCTGAAGTAGTTTCTCGTGTTCAAGCATTATTGAAGGCCGATCCCTGTAATTTTGAGTACATATTGTGGGCAGTATTTGATGGAAGAGAACGAGTTGTGAAGATGAAAATCGAATCCAGTGAGGATATCTTAGAGCTGATTGAAGCACAAAAAACTCCCAACATTTACGTGGAGTTGGAGAAGCGAGTAAATGTAGGGATTCCGGGGACGGCGCAACAAAGCTTCACGCAAATGATGGCGTCCCAAGGTGTATTTCCGAGTTCTTTTGGTGTTGATAGTTCTGCATTTTCCCAGGAGGCCCCATATTCACATCAAGCAGGCCCTAGTTCATTTACACATACTGGATATCCTCGGGGCGCTGATGATCAAACCGCGGGTTGTTCGAACCAACCAGGTCATTCTCGTGACGATGACAATAATGATGACCAAACAAACACGCACAATCATGACTCAGGCGACGAAGACAAAGAGGTCAATGAGAAGCAAATGTTCAAGCTTTTCAGGGCGTGGTATAGCAAGCATATTGAAGAGCTAAGATTAATCACAAGCCATATTGAGGTTGAGAGTCTTGCATATATGAATCGAGGTAGCACCGGGCAATCCGACGTTGAGCCACGAATGTGGTCCCTACCTATGCCGCCCACGACAACTGGATCAGATAGACAACCCATCCACTTACCCTCGAACAATATAGAATTATCTTTGGGGTCTGTCTATCTTCCGAAAGAAGAGTTGATTTGTTCCATCCAACTGTATCACTTGCAACAAAAAGTTGAGTGTCGAACACCCAAATCCTGCACTTCTAGGTTACTATATATTTGTCGGTATGAAGGGTGTTCTTACAAGTTATGTGCAAGGGCAAGTCGAAATGTATGGAGAATCACTACTTTGCAACTCGAGCATACATGCGAAGGGAGTTTGACGCACAATCGACACCGTTTGGCTAATTCCAAGGTTCTCGCTCATATTTATGCACCAACTATTCATACAAATCCCTAGACGGTATCTACACGGAGAATTATTGAACAAATGCGGGAGGAGCATGGTTTGTCGATCAGCTACAATGTGTCCCTACGAGCAAGACACCGTGCTTTTGAAAAAGTTTATGGAGGTCATGAAGAATCATGGGGGCGGCTTCCGGGTTACTTGCACATGTTGCAGGTTCGTAATCCAGGTACAATTGTCGAACTGCAACGAGCTGGCGAGGTATTCCAACACTTGTTCTTTGCTCTAGGCGCTAGCATTGAGGGCTTTCAACGAGCTGGTGTCCCGGTGATTGTGATAGATGGTACCCACTTGAAGGGAAAATACAAGGGCATTATGTTTGTTGCAGCCACATTGGACGGGAATCACCAAATCTTTCCCGTCGCAGTTGGCATTGGTGATGTAGAGCGTCGTGAGACTTGAAGTTGGTTTTTGACTCAATTGAAAAGGGCCTATGGTTGTCCTGATAACCTCCTCATCGTATCGGATAGACATGAGTCTATTATATATTCAGTCCCAACAGTGTTCCCCGAGGCGCATCACTCATTTTGCTGTTATCACATCACAAAACAAATGAGGCCTTTTGGGAAATCTGTCTTGGACATATTTTACAAGGCGGCATATTGTTATCGGCGTGAAAACTTCTATCGTTACTTGCCGTCCATCCGAAGCCTAAAACTCGAAGCATTTAAAAAGCTAACTAATGAAATTCCGGTAAATACT